CCCACACACACACACACAAACACACACCTCCCACCTTTCATCTATCACTCCAATTTGAGACCTGTCCTCTCCCACCTGCAGAACAAGCATCAGGGGCCTGTTTCTCGAAAGCCCTGGAAACTTTTCGGGCCGGAAAAGCCATTTTTAGTTAATCAGTATTTAAAGACAGATAGGTGTATATGCCTGAAACTTCTTGTACAGAATGGAACCTCTGTTTATATTAAGAATATGTGAATAAAACAGCTCTGTAATCATAAGGTTTGAGATTTTGCTATGGCTTTCCGGGTGCGAAAACTTTTCGGGACCTTCGAGAAACTGGGCTCCAGGACTCAGTACTATGTTGTACCCTTTGCTTACCCTCGTATTCTCAGATATCACTCCACAAGATAATTTCTCTCCCTTGGTCCAGATCTCATTGACCTGAGCACGCACCCCTGAACGTGAAATCTTCTTGGTGACATAAACACATGAGCCAACCAATTGTTTAGAAAATCGCCACATCTCACTTCTTGAGACGAACTGGTCCTTAAACAGTAATTCAACCAAATCAACAGATACATCCTTTGGTTCAACCTTGGTGACCTCCACATCCCAATACGTCCTCAGCTGGAAGACGTTTGCAACAGACTGCTCAATGCTGATTGTATCTTTCTGTTGGAAATCAGGACTGATCGATTTAATCTGCAGTAGCAGCCGAGTGTTGTCTTCATCTGGGTGATGAATTTCTAAAATGTCTCCTACATTTTCGTTCGGGAATTCCTTTGGATTTATGATAAGCTCATCTTCGCTGAAGTTCTGCTGGTGAACCCATAACTTAAAAAGCTTCATCCTTTAACGCGTTTAAATCAGATTGGAACCTTAATCTGAACAAACCAGCGATTTCTGCTTCGCAAAATAGAGTTTTCCACCATTATTGATCACCATGTTGTTTTCAACAGATACCGCTGTCCATGTGATCGGAGCTTCCAGGCGCGCCTGGACCAGAGCCTCTGTAGCACTGGGGACGAGAAATATATAGCGAGTATCCTGTCCCATGTGGTGGGTGAAGCACATGTACGAAGTGTACATGTTCTCAGTTACGAGTTTAGAACTTGAAATAGTTTAATTCAACGATCAAGATGCGTGCACTAATTCAAAGGTTTGCTTTGGTGAGACAAGCCCGAAAACTGACGAGATTTTCGTCTGAGGCACTTCAAACTGATCAAACGCAAGTCCGCAATTACACTGACAAGGGTAGTAAGCTTATTGAAAGTGGCACACCACGACTCAGGTAATATGGGATTTATCAGCAGCAAAATAATGCAGCAAAATAATGTTAACAATGTTTAAATGTATTTTGCCTTCTGCATAAATTGTAAAAACTCTAAGGAACATTCTGAAGGAAACCATTAAAGCTCTGACATATAATTTAACTGACGTGCGAATGGCATTGGTATTCAATTATAGGCATCCAGTTACAAAAAATCAAAATTGCATACCTGTAATTAGACACCCAAGTGATAGCGCACTGATTATGTGACAAAAGGGTGCATGGAGAACCAATATCACAATTGAGAATTTTGTTGGAGATATGATCAGCTGTGAAATCATATAGCGAGATCACAAGTATTCCATTTGTATGAACTTGAAAATTAACTTGACTGAAAATTAATGCAGGCTCAACCAGTGAATCCCATCCAGGGGGGAGTAGAAATACTCCTGGTCCTTTCATGCTACAGAAACCGGGATAAGCTCCGGCCTGATGGGCCACTTGGCTCGTATGCAGACTTTACCAGCCAGTGAATTATCACAGTACCTGTTATTGAGAAAAAGTTTTATGATCTCTTCAGAATGGCAGCATCCCTTAACAAACGGAAACACAGAGATAAACATAACCGCATCATCCTGGAGGGATGGCGTCTTGTAAAGGAAGCTTTGATGGCCAACGCCAGAGTATTAGGTATATTCTACAGTGATCCAGGCCTATTGGATCATATTGACACTTCAAATTTGCCAAATAACTGCCTTGCTCAAGTAAGCCAAGAAACAATGGAAACTTTATCAAATGCCGTCACACCCCCTGGTATTGTTGGTGTGTTTAAACGACCAAGACAAGGAGAAGGAGGAGAATTAAGGAGCAACAGTGAACTTGAAAATCGTCTGACAGTGTTATGTGATGGCCTGAAAGATCCAACAAACTTAGGTATAAGTAGTGACCATCACATTTTACGTGTATACAGCAGTTACATGTACATGTAGGTTAAGTCTGTATACGAGCCAAGTGGCCAATCAGGCCAGCGCTTATCTCCAGTTTCTGTAGCATGGATTGACTAGGAGTATTTCTACTCCTCCCTGAATGGGATGCTAGTTCATCGCAGGGTTACCCCCCAGCATTAAATTTATTAGTACCCATTTATGCATCTGCAAAAAGAGGTACAGTGAGAATAAAGTGTCTTGCCTAAGGACACAACACAAGTTGACAGCCAGGGCTTGAACCCAGACTGCTCAATCCAGAGTTGAGCGCACCAACCATGAGGCCACCGTGCCTCCCAGTGTAGCAGTACCCCAATAACCTTGTTTGGTTCTGAAAGTTTTGGTAAATGTTATTTCTGGTGTTTCTGGCATGGTGGGGTAATGGACGTCGGTGGACTGGACTCCAGGTTGACTGGTCTTGGATTGAGCCCTTATCGGGGTCATTGTATTGTGTTCTTGTGTAACAAACTTACATCTCACAGTGCCCCTCTCTATCTGAGAATATCATTAGGTAATAGAAAATTAAATGCTGGAGGCAAACTTGCTATTGACTAGCAAGTTTACCTCAAGGAGAAGGAGGAGAATTACGTCAAGAAGAAGGAGGAGAATTAAGGAGCAACTTGTAGAGAGGAATAGAAATACTGCTAGTCAACTACTTGTGCTATTGAAAATGAAGATATGTGCCAGCCTATTGCATTTGCTACTTGACTCAAGACTTAACCTATATCCGATTGGTTTTTTATTGGCATAACTGACCCTTAAAACTTGAATATAGCAAAACAACTGGTTATCAAAGCTGTGTGGCCGTTACAAAATGCTACTGGTTTAGTAGGATGATTTACTTAATTGATTATTGTAATAAGTATGCTAATTATTGAACTGTTAGCCTGCATGAGCATTCATGAGCAGCTAAACATTCTGGGTTTTTTCACCTGTTTCATCCTTAAAGTGTATTTTCCAATAAAAATGTGAAAACGATTTTCTCATCATTATACATTACTTATACATCGACTTCAATCTCTTTTTCAGTAGCCTTACAACCAGTACCTTGATCAAAATGATACATTTTGTCTTGTTTTATTCAGCAAATTATTTCTCTGAACATGAACTTGTTTCTCTTATTGTGTTCTCTAGGTACTTTAGTGCGGATTAGTGCAGCAGCTGGGTGCCAATCTTTTGTCACTTCAATTGGCTGTGTTGACCTGTGGGATCCAAAAGTATTACGATGTGCCGCTGGTGGACACTTCTATGTTCCACTTCATTACAACTTGAACTGGGAAGAGATCGAGACACTTATAAAAGACAAAAGGATTTTTCTTGCGCACAACAATATCCTTGGTGAGAAAATTTTTCTGACAATTTTTGTTGTGTACTGTAGTTGAGATTTGTTTGCATTGTATGGTTACTGTACAACTTGGTAATTAATGGCTTCTCAGGGAAAGTATTAGCCAATGTGCCGTAGGCTAGGAAAACTTATACTTTAAAAGTTTAATTGTTGTTTTACATCTTTCAAAATACAAGCAACCTAGAGCTGATCAATTTAATTTGCATCTGTGATTTAAAATTTTCTAACTTTTCATATTTTGTTGTTTCCATCAGATGAACTCAGCATTCCAACGTCAGAATATTTTCAAGTAGACTGGACTCTAGGACCCAGTGTTCTCATCATCGGGAATGAAGCCACAGGCTTGGGAGAAAATGCAAAGAACTTGGCATGCCAAAATGGTGGACAACTAGTTCATGTGCCAATGGCGAACACAATTGACAGTTTAAGTGCAGCAATGGCTGGAACAGTAATTATTTATGAGGCTTACAGACAATGCATTACTACAAAACAATTCAGAGACAAGACTAGAACATAAAAGAATATTATATTTTTAAAAATTTAATCGACTGGCAAAATGGCCATCAGTAGTACTTCAACTGTGACCTTGATTCTGGGGATGTAATGTGTCATATTAATTTCTCCCTGCAAAGAACAGCCAGCGCAGCTCCTGTTGATGCATCTACATTTTCATGCAGCACCAGTGGCAATCCAAAAACCTGCTCAACTTGTTTTTGGAGAACCTGATTTCTCATCAGAGCACTACCTGTGCCTACAATTCTTTGCACACCATGCAATTGCAGGAATTCCCTTGACATCATTTTCTGCACATTTTCCACAAGACCTCGAGAAAGAGCCACTCCAATGTCGCCAAGTGAGATATTTTCTGGTGTAACATTAGTCACCTGTCCCAGTTGATCTGGAAAGCGCCTTTCCCCCCAGAAAGTAGGATCCACTTTCAGTGATGTTGAACCTTTTTTCTCAGCGTAGTAAAGAATTCTTTGATAAATTTCATCTGTAGATGGAAGGCTGTCATTCACACCAAGATCCTTCATCCATGACATTAACATCTTTACATAGACAGCAAAAACATTACCACCTGTTAAGATAAAAGATGATTACCACTTGTTAGTAATTACTTTTATCATTGGCATGTTCAAGATTTTGCTTAGCCTGTGAACACAGATGGAACAAAAGCGGGAAATCCTTCTGTGTTCACAGGCTTGGTTATATTATCATGATAAATTTTTACATTCAAATACAATGATTTGATATGTTTTTCTATGCAATAAAATGGACAGCAATAACTTTACAAGTCATGCGGTCTTTAAAGGCAACAGTTTGATAAATTGACAGTCATGCTCATTCCATTGCATTTTATTGCTATAGAAACATAAGACTCAGGCTTGAAAACAGCCGTTGTGTGTACTAATGCACAACAGTACTCTTAATTCTTAATGTCACATCCACACAGGGTTTTAGCCAGGATTTGAAAAGTAGGTGTACAAAATGTGCTATAGAGCCTGCTCAAATAAACAATTTATAAAGCAACATATGAAAAAGAAACAATTTTCTTTAATAATTGGCTGTCCACAGGATGCCTGGATGCTCATCTGGCTAAAAGCCTGTATCCACAATAATATTTTAGAGCTTCAAAGGCTCATTATTGTACACTACACAGGATTTTTGGTGCGGCTCAATTTTCATCCTTGCTCCAACTACCTAATGCAGGATTTCATACAGCCACAGGGCACCAGGTAGATTGGCAGGCTGTGAGGATGATTTTGCCCACCTGGTCTGACCCTCTAGTACCTGAAAGTGAGGCAGCTGTAATGACCTTCCTTCCTTTAAAGAATGGAAGAAGCTGCAATGCTTCCCTTGTAACGTTTTTAGCTAGATTTGGAGAGTCTCCACTATCAATGGCACAGACACTATCAGGAACAACAACAGCTAGCTGACAGGAAGTACCAATATTAAGAACTGAAAATAAATAATAAACGAAATCAGAGTGAGTTAGAGATACACCCGGAGATACATATTGATGACCTTTTATGACAATAAAATAAATGTTATACATCATCAAATGACCAGAATGTTATTATAGATGTCCAACTGGAATCTTAAGGAATGACATCATCATAATTGACATTTCCTGTGTTGCATGATGACAGAAGCAAGCAGATGAACAGAGAGAAAATGTCAATGCTGACCACTGGCCAAAATGTAGCAAACATTTTACAGGGCAACTTGTCACATGCCTGTAACATGGAGCCAAGTTTTGCAGGTCTAATTTTGATCATGGAAGTTACTGTTAAGAAGCATCAAATTTGTGACACCTTTAATGGGGTGAAAGATCTTCAAAAAGTTCACTGTGATGTGGTTGAGGTTCAGCAAAACACATTAACATAAGGGGAGATAACTAGCTCACTTATGGGTCCAGAATTCTGGGTTTGGTATTGATAAGAAGTTCAAATGTTTGGAAACTTGACTGTGTTAACTAACTTTAGGCTTGATTCTCATGTGCTGTCTCTCTCTCTCTCTCTCTCTCTCTCTCTCTCTCTCTCTCTCTCTCTCTCTNCTCTCTCTCTCTCTCTCTCTCTCTCTCTCTCTCTCTCTCTCTCTCTCTTACTGTTCCTTCCCAATACCATTGGGGAGGAGTGTGGGCTCCATTTTTCCAAGACAGTGGCTGGGGATTAAGCCTAAGTATTAACATCACCTGCATCACTCTGCTGAGACATACTGGCAAGTACTGAACACTGGAAGTCCCCCAGTCCCACCCCCACAGGTGTTCCAACAGGTATATTGTAGAATGCTCTTTGCAGTTTACCAGCCACAGCATCAGGCGTGACCACCACTGGCAGGAGGTGGGTGGGAAATTTTGCATGTTCTAGGCTGTAATATATACATAGAAGAGAGAAGTTAAAACAGTGTTGAAACACAGATATTATAATGTGTAGTTCCACAAAAGATCCATACCTCCCCAATGGAAGGGATTTTTTCTAAGACAACCCNTACATCTCTTTAAATTTTTTGGTCTTCCAGAACCCCCACCCCTCAGGAAATTCCAATCCCTTCTGTGGGGGAAGTATGGATATTTTCTGGAACTGCACAATTGGACCATGAGGGACCTACATGTATCTCCAGTGATAAGGTTAAGCTGTCTTGATTGTTTTTTGTTTTTGTTTTTTGGCATCTGTTTGCTGACATTGTTCCAAGCAGTACCCAGCCCTGTATATCCATTTACTTGAAAATTAATTATCGTGCTAAATTAGAACTACTATTGGTCGGAGATTGAAGTGCAATGTTTGACGAAGAACAGAAATTGAGCAATGTTCTAAGGGAGGTGGCCAGTTAACTTACACGTCTAACTCCCATGTCATGTTATCGACATGAAAATATCCCCAGCTAACAGCATTGTGTGTAGACATAGAAGGCTTGTCCATTTGACACAAAACACACACAATTAAGTCCATAATAGTTCCAGCACAGTCAAAACGTTCCAAAAGATAAGGACGGTTTCTTTGAAGCCAGAAAAGACTAGCACATCCAAAACCAGTAGAAATAGCAGCATTCGTGCGAGAAGCGGGGAGCGTGGCCAAAAATTCGCTTGTACATCTTCGATCCTCCCAAGTAATCAAATGCGAAACATTGTCCCTAGCTCTAAAATAGTCACGAAATTCTGATGTATTCCAAGTCACGCAAGATTGGCCTTTCCACATCACGCAGCCATGCATTTGTCCACATATCCCGATACTGCTCACTTTGACCAGAAGATGGGTCGACAGCTGCCCTAAAACATGGTGTAAACTGGCAAGAATTTTTGCCACATCTTGCTCTGCGAAGTCCAAGTCTTCGACGCAAATATTCGCCCCTGTCTCACAACTAAAACTTTCAACGACATCTCTGGTGTTATTTCGCAGCAGGGATACTTTGATCGAGGTTGTTCCTACGTCGATTCCGAGAACGAAAGATTCAGAGACACAATCCACCATCTTGTTTTGTAACGCAACACTCCTTCAAGAAATGTTGCGTGTGTCATGAGACTCTTCCTGTATTTTACATCACGTCAACACCTAACCCATAGCATTAGATTACTTCTTTCAGAGTACTGTATTTTTCGGTTTCTTCTCGTTTTCTTTCACTTAAGAAGCTTTAAGATGAGAGTAGCAATAATCGGAGCTGGAGCTAGTGGCCTTACTTGTATAAAATGCTGCAAAGACGAAGGTTTGGAGCCGGTGTGTTTGGAACAAGAAGACTCCATCGGAGGCTTGTGGTATTACACCGATGAGGAACGCCATGGCTCTGTTTACAAGTCCACTGTCATCAACACCAGCAAAGAGATGATGTGCTTTTCGGATTTTCCTATCCCTAAAGAATACCCCCCATTCATGCATCACGACTGGATCATGAAATATCTTCATCTGTACGCGAAATCGTTCGATTTGTACAAGCACATTCGATATCGGACAAAGGTCGTGGACCTTGGGAAAGTGACTGATTTCGAAGAGAGCGGAAAATGGGAAATCTTCTTTCAAGATCTAAACAGTAAAGATCCCAAAGAAGTGAAAAAAGAAGTGTACGATGCTGTCATGGTATGTGTGGGCCACCACTCAGAGCCTTCGTGGCCAAGTTTTTCTGGAATGGACGAGTTTACAAGGCTCAAGATGCACAGCCACGCATACAAGGACTTCAAACCATTTGAAAACAAAAATGTCCTTGTGGTTGGTACGTATTGAGATTGTTCTCTTTTTGGGTGTAACTGTTAACATCAAATGCACATCCCTACTTTCCACCTCAGGCTTACCCTACTATCCACTATCCATCCCACCCACCTCTGCTTTCCCCTCCCCCTGTTGTCCCTTGCCCCTTGTCCCCATGTACCCCTCTCTAGATGAGACTCCCGAAGGCCAGGGTCTGAGAAAGCCTAACAGGGGTTTTTTTTTTTGTCTTTTGAATAATTCTCTGCGAGTTTGCAGGAAAGCTGGTAATAAATACACATTAGGTCATTTCTGATTGAAGCGATATGAAATGAAATCGCTCACAGCTTGAGCTGCGAACTGTTATTGTTAAACTTAATAATATGTCAAACCAAGCTATCAAACTTATTTTAATTGCTGAGAATTGTACATACTTTTATGATCCAGTGGTAGACATATAGTGTTAGGGACCTTAAGATCGAGGTACAACATTAAGTACAAAAATCTACAGTGAGTGAGATCATGACATGTCATGTCTATCACATTTCCTGAATCTCTCCTTCTATCAGGCAGTGGCAGAGAGTAGTCATTAGGCCCTGGGAACACGATCACTTTGACAATAGAAACTGAGCCGTTCAGACAGTTGTACCTGAGTATATTGTACTTGTTCACATACAGTGGAATCGCAATTTCTCGTACCCTCATTTTTTCGAACCTCCCGATAACTCGAACCAAAAGTAGTTCCCTGTACCACTGTAATTTTACCCCCGATTTCTCAAACTCTCTGATTTTTCCAACCAATTTTCTTTTCCCTTGGAGGTTCGAAAAATTGAGATTCCGCTGTAGTAGTACCTCAATGTGGAGGTCTCAATCTGAAGGTCTCATTCTGGAGGTGTACCAGGAAACTATGCCACGTCTACAAATTCTCTGATAGGTTTCAGCACAGGACTGACACATGCAGTAATTCTCTTACCACAATGCCAAATAAAGCAAGAATTACCTTGTGTTNGGTTAAGGCCTTGTCAAGTTTGCTGTTAATCTCGGCGAGTGATTCCGCCATGTTTGTACAGCCGTGGCAATATTCTATCTCGCAGTCCTCATTATCAGTTTGCGAGCCTTTACTTCGTTTTCTTCTTTTGCGAGTGGAGCTTTCCTTGGTTGCTTGTTGTTCATCTGCCATTTTCTCAGCTCTCGGGCTCCCTAGGAGGATTACATTTGCTTTGAAGGCGGAGCGCTTCAGAAGACGTCCGACCTCGCCGAAAGCTAGACCCAGTCCCAGACCCAGCACAGGACTGACACATGCAGTAATTCTCTTACCACAATGCCAAATAAAGCAAGAATTACCTTGTGTTTTGCCGAGTTTCTAATTAAGACCCTTTCTCAACACTGTTGCAATGGTTGGAGATGACCCTTTAACCAGTCAGACCCACAGGGGAATGAAATCAATCCATTTACCACAACTGAAGCAGAAAGGCTGAAATTAAACTTTGCAGCAGGTATATTTGCCGCCCTCTGAGGAAGTCATATTTAGTGAAATGGCCCATGGTGCATAAAACTTGGGAACACTGCCAATCCAAAAGTAACTTTTATTTTATTCTAAAAAAAAAAAGCACTGTATGTTTTCTATGATAGACCATGATAAACAGGTGAACCTCACTGTCTCAAACTTGGCTATCTTAAATTCCCTCTTATCTCAAACTTTAATCATTTTTACGTGGATATTCTTGTTTCAGTCAGTCATTTTTCAGTCAGTCATTTTTCAGTCAGTCATTTTTCAGTCAGTCATTTTTCAGTCAGTCATTTTTCAGTCAGCTCAATCTTGAACCCCTGCCATCTTGAACTAACTTTTGTTTACCTTAAGAGCTTGAGAAAGCGAGGTTTTACCTTCACATGGCACAAAAATATGCTTGGATATTAAAATTTTGTCCACAGACATTATTTGTTCCAAGAAGCAAACAGTTTTCCAAGAGGGAAGCTCGAGGAAAACTGTGAGCTTCAAGGAACAGATACTGTCCAAGGGCAAATATCCGACCATATGTTAACGTCAAATGGAGGCTACTGTGTTTATTATCCTTTTTTCTCCTCTCTTGTGCAGGTATTGGAAACTCTGGAGGTGATATTGCTGTGGAACTTAGTCGCCATACCTCCCAGGTGTTCCTCAGCACTCGACGAGGAGCATGGGTCTTGTCCCGAATGGGGAAAGGCGGGGAACCTTTTGACCAACAGGCAATTAGGCGATTTGCATCTCTGATACCAATACCAATTCAGTTGTACCTCTTTACCAAAACAGTAAACAACAGATTTGACCATGAAGCGTTTGCATTACGACCCCAGCATCCACTCACTGGTCAACATCCAATGGTCAATGATGATCTCCCTCACCGCATTATTGCTGGAGGTGTTGTTATTAAGCCTAATGTGACCAGCTTCACCAAAACTGGAGTTGTCTTTGAAGATGGCACCCAAGTGAATGATTTAGATGCAGTGATCTTTTGCACAGGGTATAAGATAGGCTTCAAGTTTATAGATCACTCCATTCTTCCTGTAAGCGATAACAAGGTTGAATTATACAAATACGTGTTTCCCCCTAACCTTGCCAAACCAACTCTTGCTGTTTTTGGATGTATCCAGCCACTTGGTGCGATTTTTCCAATATCTGAGCTCCAAGCACGGTGGGCAACGAGAGTGTTTTGTGGGAAAACATCACTTCCCCTGAAGAGCATTATGATGGAAGACATCGAAAAGAAAAGAAAAACAATGCAAGAGAGGTATTATGCCTCAAAACGGCATACCATACAGGTTAGACTACGAGTCTTATACATGAAATCAATATTAGACAAATTCTACTAGTTCACTGATAGCTACTGATACAAATGCTGCAATCTGATGGGTTGAGCTATGAAACACTTTCAGTCACTGGTGTTCAATGGCTGGAGCTCGTCTATAAAATGGGGACTTTCAGTTTCTTATTTACCTAAATTCTTAAGGGGACTTAAAGAAGGACATTCACCCTTACTTGACTTAACAGACTCAAAATTGCTGAAAAAAACTGATGTGTGCGTGTACACAACTGCAAGTTTCAAATGATAGTTCAGTCGACCTCATAATCATCATCTATCGCCTCATGGAAATTGCGAGCCTGTCGTCTAATTTATTGTGGTCACTGTTAAACTATCAAAAACTTCAGTTAGGGCCCGGACGCACTGAGCAAATTTTCGTTTATTTTGCAAAAAAGTCTGTCACCAGTACAGTTCCCTGAGACAAGTGCGCCCGGTGATTTTTAGATCTACCAAATTTTGTCAAGGCTTGCCAAACTTCAAGATGCCGTCGTCCTGCCTCGGAGCGGGATAAATTTTTGTGAGGTGTGAAATCTGACAGATTTGTCAATTTACACGCCATGATTTGAAGGAAAATGTCAATCAAGAAAATTTGATCTCTTTTTTTTAGTCGGAGTTTTTCAATCCAAAGCCCGCCAAAATTATTTCATACTTGCGCGGCAATCAAACGGTGAAGAGGGAAGATTGGTACCTCGGTATGCTTCATGACGATCCTTACTCAGAATATAACTATTACTGTTCCCAAGTTTATGTTCCAGCGGCATCTCCAGGGCCAAGTACAGTTCAATTTGTCAGCATTTGTACATCCCTATGCAAACCGACCAAACATCTGTATGCAAACCACCCGAGTCAGCCGAGTACATGTACAAGTACTCGTGGTTAACAAATATTTTGCTGTCTCTCAGTGCGCCCACGCTTGACAAATTGAAAATTTGGCAGAGACACATTTTCTCGAGATTTTTGGAAGGGCCAAACAAATTTTGCCAGTCCAGTGCGTCCGGACCGTTATTCCTCCATTATTTTTGCATCGAATTTTTTGACTCTTTTGTCTCCAAATCCCTTGGCTTTCTAAATTCCAATATGGCGTGTGGAAGGCAATGACTGGCATGAAGCAATGATGAAGAAATGAATTAAAGCACGGTAAACGATGTGAAAACCCTAAGAACGCTACTGGGATAGTTTGCTTGTTCAAACATGGTTGTTAACATAGCATAACGGACCCAACAACCATTGACAGCCCCAAACAATAATGATTGATAATGATTAAACGTTGAAGTAAACCAGCCAAATAATTAAATTCGTGAGTTGGGGGATCATTTCACTTGCATATTTTTCACTAGTCTTCTCAAAAATCATGATTTAAGTCTTGCAATATATTGTGCGTGGAACTATTTCCTAATTGAAATTTCAATAATCACCAATTGGTTAATCAATTAACAGGAAACTATTGAAAAGCCGGTCATTCACTTAATATGTTTAACAGTTAATTGATCCTGGTAATTAACTGAAGTCGACTTTTAACGTAGATTGTCACTCTCCAAAAGGAACTGTATGTTTATATACTTCTTACTGAACAATTGTCACCATAAACATTGTCAGCTATGTCAGTTGATAATGTTTTAATGCAATTCATCACTTGCTCGAAGTTTTGGACCGTGGTTGAAACCTTTCTCTTTGATCTCTGCATCGGAGCAACCTGTTTCCCACCAGGTAATCCAATGTAGATCCTCTCCTGAGAGTCTGTGACCTCACCTGGTATCTCACTGAGTATTTTTTCTTTGCTCCTACTTACAGGTTGACTATATTCCCTATTGTGACGAATTAGCCAATGAGATTGGTTGTAAGCCAAACTGTGTGAGGCTCTTTTTCAGCGACCCTGGCTTGGCCCTGCGGTGCTTTTTTGGACCCTGTACGCCGTCGCAATACCGACTCACGGGACCTGGTGCTTGGGTAGGAGCCAAGAAGGCTATTGAAGATGCTCCTGGAAATGTGATTTACGCAACAAAGACACGCGTCTTGCCGCAGAAGGAGAACAACGGGCCTAATACTACTCTCGTTGTCTTGAAATTGCTGGTTTTATTAGTTGTGGTATTTGCCATTTTAATGAGGTTTTTTCGTGAAACCTGATCAGAGTTCATATAGATGACAGCATTTATCGTGTTCGAGTTTCTACTAGTCTCTCCTATATAGGCAGCCTGATAGTTATCGCTAATTTCGCCCTGCCTAGTCCCCAGTCTCCCCACTTTGTTTGGAACGTGGTGAGTGTGGGTGACCTGGACGCAACCTAACCATTGAGCCCCGCGTACCCAGTTTCCGCCTTTCACCGATGAAATACAATGAAATGTGGCTTGGGGACGAGGCAGGTCTACCTTAACATTGCTCAATAGATAATGTAACGCAATTACAAGTTTGTGGGCGATGCGAGTATTGTAGGACTGGAGAATCTTCACGATGGTTGCTGTCAACCCTTGTTGTGTACAGTAGAGGAGTATTGTCCCTATTTAGCGCTAGGTCTCTGGTTGTTCAGTAGTTCGATGGGTGTTTCGTCAAACAAAAGTCAGCATTGTATAGTTGTACTTCTACAAGACTCAATCGAAGCATCGTAAAGTTGTGCTCAGCGTCAAATTAGTTTTAGTTTTATATTGAGAAGTAGAGTTTTAGGCTGAATGGTCACAGTTGGCCATGTACATGTAATAATATTATATCGAAACGACAGGCCGTGTTTGACCACGTTTCCAAACACGGAGAAGAGGGTTGAAAATACGACTCGTAGCGGAGTATTTTTGACGAACTTCGAGGTGTTTGATTTTTTTTATTATTCAATGGAATCTAAAGCTAGGGAGAAAACGAAGAAATTAGATCGTTGTAATTCTGGGCTAAATTAAGATCACATATCTAAACACCGTCACAGTCACGATTTTCTTAGATTAAACTTGATGAATTATTAATGAGTTTGAGAAAAAATATATATATATCATCCAAACGTTCCTTCATTCGTGTCAAATGATTATAATAGTAAACTTAAAAATGATGATGATGATGATGATGGTAATGTTGATAGTTCTTGTCAAAGGCATACATCTTATATATCTTCCTTTTACAATAATTTATACAGAAAATGTAATGACCTTATGTAATAATATTTAAATTGAATAATGTGATAACAGCTTTTTGGGCCGCTTAAGTTGTTATCCTTGTTACTACAGTTAGATCTTACACAAAACAGCAGGTGTTTGTTATGGTTAATGAACTGGAACAGTAACCTCTGACTTAAAAATGCAAAACAAACTAAAACTAATGTATCTGTAACTACTCAGCTCGTTTAGTTTTTACTATTTTGAGTAGTTTTTTTGCTTATTAAGTTTAATGTATTCTTTTGCTGAGTGATATTCTATTTATTATGCAAAATAAAATGGTTGTTGTTGTTGTTGTATCTACGTTGGATTTCTATATTTTCTGATAGCGAAAGCAAATATGTAAAACATACTAAATTATCTTATTTTCTCTCCTCACAGTAACTATTGACGAAATAAAACGTTGTCGAGATAAAGTTGTTTAAAAGATACAGTTGATTGTGAAGAAGGTACAGTGTGGAGTACATGACTGTGAGATGGGCGACAGGGATAAAGATGCTCTTGGGCCATAACAGACATGAGTTTAGGTCAACAAGAAAGGATTATTGGATGGGAAATAAGTTATTATTGATCAATGCAATACCGTGTAAAATCGTAAACTACGGTAATGAGTTAAATCAGAAGTTCATGGTATAAAAGGTAAAAGCAGAATTGCAAGCTTGTGAAAGTTCTTAATTGGAGAATAGCTGTTATTGTAGTTGAATCTGCAGTCAAACATTCAGGCATGGAAACGAAGCGAAAGGGTCAACACAATGCAGAATTGACCCTTTCGCCTCGTTTGTGTGTCAAGCCATTGATAACTGCAATAACAGCTACTGACACACGCAATTGACTTGTTCACCATTAGGGGACTTTTCATGAGTAATATGGTCTGATATTCCATATTAGGGGCGAACCATTTTTTTTTTTAGGGGAGGGGCGCTGCTGAAAAGAAAATCGTGGAGAAAATTGCCCAACACCGT